CATATGTTTTTAAGTATATAAAATAGAGAAAGATGGGAAAAGAAAACAGAATCAGGGAACAGACATGAGAATTCTATAATAAACATTTTGAAAATGTAAAAATTCTTGAGAATGTCAAGGAAAAGATGAAAGGAGTTATGCAATATTTTTTACTCATGTATTTAGTATCTAAAATTATAATAATGGTTGTATATTTATTTGTCTCAAACAAGAAAAGAAAATATTCACTAAAGCTCAATAATTTATAGCAAATAAAATGAGGACAAATTTTAAAAAGAACATATCCCATTTGCTTTATTTGGCCTGATTCTTCTTCTCTTCACTGGTTACACAGTCCAAACACTACTGCTGGGACTATTTCTGCTAAAGTAATTATTTCATCTTGCTTTACTATATCTTACCCATAAAGTAATTTCTTAGATAAGAGATATGATTCATGGATTAAATTTAAGAAAGATCTGCTATAGGTCTTCACATAATTACCTCTTTAGAAACTCAGTCTTCTACAAAATATTCTACATTTATTTATATTAATTACTATTTTCCTTTCAACATGCAAAAATAAAAAAGATAAATTTATCTGAAGTTCTTCTCTCCTAATATGCTCTCTTTTGGTTTACTAGATTTTTTTTTCCTCCCCTGATTAGGTAGTTTGAAGTTAAAAGAATTTAAAAGGGAGTTAGTTTTCTGTTATACAAAAATTTCTTACCATTCTAGTGAGCATTATGCTCCATGACTCTCCGCCATGCTGATTTTCCTCCGAAAAGGCATGGTGGGCACACACTCTTGAAGGTAGGTCCCTGGCAGGCTGTCCTCTCATCAGTATTTATCCACTGCATATGCCTCTTGAGGATGCTTTACCCTGTGTCCTGCTTTTGACAGGTGTGCCCTTTAACAATCTTCACTGTGCTGCTGGCAGAAAGACTACTGTAAGTCCTCAGAGGATTGGCTCCAGGAGAGGGAATCAGTTTTGTGCTACCATTGCCCTGCAGAATGGAAACCATGGAATAGTC